AAACTGGAACATATATAAACCTCTTTTTCAAAATAGAAAAATGACAAATAAGAGCAAACATTAAAAACACTTGACTTTTGCATATGTTTTTTAGCTGTAGAAAAACAACACGGGGCTTAATAATTTTCTTGAATAATCTCACTGCAGAAACTTTTGAATTGCTGTTATTGTTGCTCTTTGTTGGTGGATTTCTTATGTTCCAGTTTATGTCTTGTGAAAAAATATAGGAGTTCTCTCCATAGCTGAAGGCCTACCCACCGCTCACTGTTACTGGCAGATAACAAGCCGGCTCTGCGACTCCTTCAGCGCAGGGCACTGAAGGAGAAAAGCAGGGCTTTCTGTAGTTTTGGTGCCAGATAGTGTGACTTAGAGGAGTATTCCTCGAGCACATTCTTCTTGTCAATTTTGAATGATCAGCGCTGCATTTTTATGTACAACCACATCCTAATGACTTGGGCATCTGAATTCTGTTATATCTGAGCAGCTTGCCATTTATACTGAAGACAAAAAGAGCTGCTCTTTGACTTGATAACGCAATGTGGCTGTGACTCAGTACCACGTGAAATGCGATTAGCACTGAACAGTGTCCTTGAAACCAACCTTCTCACCTACCCCAGCTGACATTTTGATACACATTTATTCAGGCATTAAATATTGTAAAAGCTTGAGGAATAAAGAAGTGATGATAACTCAGCACAATTTAAAACACACATGCACATGCACTTATTTCTGGAATGCTCCTTAAGCATGATCAAGCAATTAATAAGGGCAAAAATGCTAATCAATTAATAAAGGCATAACCATAACTTTTTGAAAAATGGTGTCAAGCAGTTGGAGCACAATATGGCAGTGTTGCAGGCTTTCTCAGCATGTCTCAGTGTTTTAAACAGTAAATTTTCTTATTTATTATGGAATTCCTGATTATCTGTTTTTCACCCTATTCCCCCCTATAGATTGTTAGCAACTTGAAAGTAGGCATCTCTGTGTGTTTTGCTCACTGATGTGTTCAAAACACCTAGAACAGTGATAGTCACACAGTAGGTACCCAATAATTGCTGAATGAATAAACAAAATAAGCAAAATTTAAAAATCACCTAAAATCCTACATTATTAATATGGCAATCATTTTCTGTGTCTAAAAGGATCCTGATCGAATAATTTTTACAGGAAATTAATTATTATTTTTTAATTTCTTCTAAATGTTAAATAGTGTATATTTTACATATTGTCAAATAAGGAGATATTAAGTGTTATAGTTCAATGAGTTTTAACAATGCAGACCCCTGTGTAACCCACACCACTGCCAAGATATATAACTTCTCCATCTTGAGAAGATCCTCATGTGCCCCTTCCCAGTCAACCCTAACCTCCCATTCCAGAGAACCACTTCTCTTATTTTTTCACTGTAGATTAGTTTTGCCTGTTCTGAAACCTCATATAAATAGAAGCAGAAACCATGTATTTTTTTTGTATCTAGCTTCTCTTGGATAGCATATTGTTTTTGAAATGTATCCACTTGTTGCATATAAAGCAGAATAGCCCTGTGCTCTTCATTACAGGGTAGTATTCTACACCAAGTCTCACAATTTGTAAATCCATTCTCCTCTTCATTTTTTGGGTATTATTTAGGATAAAACTTTCATGAACATTCTTTTTTTTTTGGTTGACATATGTTTTACTTCTCTTGGTAAATTCCTAGGAGTGGAATTGGGTCATAAGTTGGGTATATTTTTAACTATATGAGAAACTGCCAAAATATTTTTCAAAGTAGCTTCATTATTTTGCATTCTCAAAAGAAACATACAGTAGTCTTCCGTCATCTGCAGTTTTACTTTCCCTGGTTTCAGTTACTCACAATAAACCATAGTCTGAAAATATTAAATGGAGAATTCCAGAAATAAACAATTCATAAGTTTTATCTATTTATTTATTTATTTATTTATTTTATTTATCTTTATTGTTGAAAGTATTACAGGTGTCCCATTTCCCCCCCCAGTTGACCACCTCCACCTGGCTCCCATCCCCTCCCCAGGCCTTCACCCCGTTATTGACTGTGTCCATGGGTTATGCATATATGCATATAATTCCTTTGGTTAATCTCTTCCCACCCTCCACCCCCCTTCCCTCTTT